AGATTTTCAGATAATCGCACACAGAATATTTTGAGAATTATGCATTGACAGGGGTTTTGATAGAGCAGTGCATCAAGCAGTGATCCATCAGTTGTCAAGCTTTGTTGTCACTTACAATAGAAGACAAAAGAAAATAGTTTTCTCTAGATATCATGTCAAATTCTAACCTTGAAGTACAATAGATTAATTAAACTATTATCATGGTGGAATTGCACATTTCCGCTCTCATTTCAGGAGGCAATCTGTCAGATTTTGATTTAAACTGGGTGAAGTGTGTTAAACAGAACTCTTGGTTGCTAAAAACAAGATAAAATTCGCCAAAAAAAGAATTAATAAACAAATATGGAAGGGATTTGTTGAACGAATTGGTGGAAATGTACGTATTTTTGTGTAGATAGTGTTTGGGCCTGATTGTGACCTCAGCACATTTCCAGTGATACAGCCACTGAAATTTATCAGAAAAAGAGATGCGCCCCACCTTGTGTTTACTGAATTATATAACCACATCATTTTGGACAATGATTTTGATTGTACAATAAAACTGAAACTGTAGTCATAAAAACATAAGCCAGTGCTAGATACCAAAGTCACTAATGTGTTTATACTTAAAACAGTAAATAATATATGTAAATATTAAATCATGTGTCAAGTTGTTTATTATTCAGTATACAAAAAATTATATATTTTTTTGATATTTTCTTTAATTTGAAGTTATTATTATGATTATGTCTCTGATTTAGAGGTTAGTGTGTGTGTGTGTGTGTGTGTGTATGAATGTGTGTGTGTGTGTGTGTGTGTGTGTGTATATATATATATATATATATATATATATATTAGAGATACACCGCTTTTATCAGCCACTAATCGTATCGGTCGATAAAAGCTATTTATTTCACTATCGGCTGATTGTTCAAAATCAGCTGAAGATCAGGGTAGATTATATCCTGTCAATCAAAATGCAGCGGAAAAACGTGTCAGAACGCAGGCTCTATTTGACCCAATGAATCACCCATGGTATCGGCAGGTTAATTCAGTATCGGTGCATCTCTAATATACATACATACATATACGTTTACTACCATAACATGTAGAAATATCTACATTTTATTCAAGTCAAAAATATTTCACATGACTGACTACATATCTATTACACCAAGAAAAAAAAGTATATAAGAGTCAAACTAGACAGCAGAATAACAAATTTTGCAAGTCACCACAATAATTTTAGTAGATATAAACATGTCTCATGGGACGTACATGAGTTGAATAGATTACTGAGCATGGCTGGCAGTCAGAGTGCAAGATCCCGGTTTCATTAGCTCCTGAAGCCCTCACCTCCACGATTGAAACCTTGACCTCAGCCATGTTACACTTAACCATGTTTTATTCTGCTGTAAAGACCTCTGTGTTTAGTGTAGGGGTCCATCCAGCATCGTAAAACACGGCTGAAGGGGAAAAAAAGAGAGCAGGGACAGGGGTTAAGTTGACAAATCCCCCAGCTTTGAGCCTCGGCGGGCCGGTAATCTCTCTGGTAAGCAAAGTGCTCTCAGGTACCCCTTGTGTTATCAATGCACGTCCACTTATGGTAGTCAAGATGGCCTCACTCTGTTGTCTTCCCCCTTGTAGCTGCTGTGGGCCAGTGACATGAGGGTCATTCGGTCCCCGCGCTACAGTCAACAGGCCTGTTTGCCAGGCCACTTGTCCCGAGACTCTTTATCTTTTGTCGCCAAATTTAGATGGCATTGTTGCCCCTCACCTTGCATGAAATTGCTCTTTTGTGTGGAGCGCTGTAGATCAAGTGAAAAAGAGAGGGAAAGAAAGACAGAATAATTAAGTAACTTTGAACATTTCAATCTGTCTAAAAAGATGGCTGTTTGTACAAAGGCTTAAATTTATTAATTAATTTAAATCTATATAAATAAATACATAAATATATATTTCTATCTATCCAACATTTTATATCAATATTATTATTTATTAATGATAGTAATAATCGATTATATTATATTATCAATAAACACTAAAATCAATATAAAATGTTGTGTATACATATATAATTTGTTATTAACATATTATTAATATAATATAATATAATATAATAATATAAGCATTAACATTGTTTGTACAGAGGCCTGAATTTAGAATATATACACACACATACATACATACATACATACAAACATACACATGACATATGATGTGTTAATATAAAATAATTAATAATATAAACATTTATAAAAAATAAATATAAATCTGTCTGTCTGTCTGTCTGTCTATCTATCTATCCAATAATAGACTACATAGAAGAATGACCATTTTTGCAAGTCACCACAATAATTTCAGCTGATATAAACATGTCTCTTGGCATGTAGACGAGTTGAATAGATTACTGAGCGTGGCTGGCAGTCAGAGTGCAGGATCCCGCTTTCATTAGCTCCTGAAGCCCTCTCCTCCACGATTGAAACCTTGACCCCAGCCTGCTACACTTAACCATGTTTTATTCTGCTGTAAAGGCCTCTGTTTAGTGCAGGGGTCCATCCAGCATCGTAAAACACGGCTGAAGGGGAAAAAAAGAGAGCAGGGACAGGGGTTAAGTTGACAAATCCCCCAGCTTTGAGCCTCGGCGGGCCGGTAATCTCTCTGGTAAGCAAAGAGCTCTCAGGTACCCCTTGTGTTATCAGCGCACGTCCACTTATGGTAGTCAAGATGGCCTCACTCTGTTGTCTTCCCCCTTGTAGCTGCTGTGGGCCAGTGACATGAGGGTCATTCGGTCCCCGCGCTACAGTCAACAGGCCTGTTTGCCAGGCCACTTGTCCCGAGACTCTTTATCTTTTGTCGCCAAATTTAGATGGCATTGTTGCCCCTCACCTTGCATGAAATTGCTCTTTTGTGTGGAGCGCTGTAGATCAAGTGAAAAAGAGAGGGAAAGAAAGACAGAATAATTAAGTAACTTTGAACATTTCAATCTGTCTAAAAAGATGGCTGTTTGTACAAAGGCTTAAATTTATTAATTAATTTAAATCTATATAAATAAATACATAAATATATATTTCTATCTATCCAACATTTTATATCAATATTATTATTTATTAATGATAGTAATAATCGATTATATTATATTATCAATAAACACTAAAATCAATATAAAATGTTGTGTATACATATATAATTTGTTATTAACATATTATTAATATAATATAATATAATATAATAATATAAGCATTAACATTGTTTGTACAGAGGCCTGAATTTAGAATATATACACACACATACATACATACATACATACAAACATACAC